CTTTATGGTAGAATGGGAATGAAGTTCCAAGGTGGGGAGTGGGGAGAGGGTGGAAATAAAGGGGTGAGGATGGGAGTGGGGGAAAGACATTACTCATGGGTTGCACAATTCGATGGGTGGGTCGGATGAAGGAAATGGGAAAGATATTTTGTAAAAAACAATGTATTCAAACTTTGTAAAAAGATCAGAGTAATATAAAAAATTGAAATATTAATAAAAAAAACACTTGGGCTTTCCCCACATTTTACCCTATCTTTTTCCTCATTACTCACATCAAATCTCTCACTAATCTATTGCCACCTAATGGACTCTGACTCATAGCAGTCCTACAAGACAGAGTGGAACTGCCCCATAAGGATTCCAAGGCTGTGATTTTTACAGAAGCAGACTGCTTATAGTTTCTTCCAGAGGGAAGCTGATAGGTTCAAATCACTGATGGTTTCATGGTTGATTAACAATTGACACTGAATCACTGTGCCTCCAGGACTTCATATGTTCTATAAATTATACCTTAAAATTCCTGGACTCTCCTTTTTCCCAGATTCCTGAGTGAGGTAAATGGTTAAATACTACTGGCTAGAAGATTTGTAATTGTAACCAAAGCAGAGGCATCTCAGAGGACAATTTGCTCCTAAAAGGTTACAACTTTGAAAAGCCTATGGAGCAGCTCCATTCTCCAAGACACAAGAGCTGTAAGTTCTTCTGTGGGAAGAATATTTAAGACTAACTTGAAGTCAAGAGGGAAGAAGGAAGGAATCTCGTTTAGCCAGAAGAGTGTAAATGTTAGCAAGAGGGAGAAAAGAAAAGGTTTCACCTAACTCAAAAGGAGAAATGATTTAAAAAAAAAAAAAGGTACAGCAAATTATCTAGTATTCTCCAGACTCAAAGCTCACAGGATCACCATTTACAAAGGATTGAGAAGGTTAAATTAATTGAAGGTTGATTTTCAAGGAGGATAAAATTTCATTGTGAGGGCTATGACATCCATAAACAAACAAACAAAAAAAGACCAAACCAGTAACTAGCAATTATATAAAGGATGAGAAGGAGTAAGCTTTGTTGTTTGTTTGTTTGTTTTGTTATTTTGAGGGTTTAATTGAGATTCTAATGAAAGTTTATCGAGAACATGGATTTCCATTCATTGTTGTACATTTTCCTCCCTGCCCACCTCTCCCCCTTCCCAGTTCACTTTTTTCTTTGAAGAAAAATTCTTTGTTATTCAATCCTCCCCACGTCCAGTTTTCTATGCCTCTCTTATTCTGACAATTTAAAAGTGTGCAGCATCGAGTTAAGCAGTTCCCTTCCCTCATCTGTCCCTGGAGTGAGGCT